TGTGGGGCATCAGGCACACCGTTTCATACATTCCAGAGTGAGCTGATGGGCTTCTGAGACTTCCAGAGTAAAGGAGACTCTGTAAGGGCACAGAGCTGAAGAATGAGGGGGTCCGCTAAGAATAACCGAGCGTTCCGGATGGAAGGCTGTCTAACGCACTAACTGTATGAAGTTCTAACAGAAACTGAAAAACAAAACAATTCCCTTGTAGTAACTGGATCAGCAACTAACTGTAACCGAGCTCCAGATCGGGGGGCGACACTCAGCATGGCCTCCAGTGGTCTAGAACAACCGAGGTCTCCAACAGCCACTGGGGTGGTGGTGGTTGCTAAGGGCTACCTCCAGAGGGTCGAGAATGAGCAAGGGGGTTCGGAATCAGGCGGGGCACTCAAGGTTGCCTCCAGTTAAGTGCTCTAGAACGAGTAACTGGGTTCTAGACTGGGGGGGTCGCTCAGGATTGCCTCCAGTTAAGCGCTCTAGTACGAGTGAGGTCTCCCGACACTGACCGCGTTCAAGAATAAAAGGAGTCTCTAACATTCACTGACAGTTCTTGACTGAGTGGGGGGGACCCCCCCAGAAAAATACAACTTTGCTTAAATCAACTGTCCACACAGAAGCGTCGCTGTCTCTCCGTCGTTGTGGCTCTGATATCAGAAACAACAGATCGCCAATCACCCCCGATCGCAAAGACTATAGATCGTCTGGCTAACGTCCTGTGTATAACATTCATCAATACCTGTAGTCAGTTATACAGTTGGGGGAGAAAATGATTTAAAAAAAACACACACAACGAGGATCGCAACAATGAAAGGACATTTGCTTACTCACAGCGTCGCTGTAGTTTCCGTTTCACATGCAGCCTGGGCGACTACGGCGGCCTGCTGGGGTCAGGGCGGACGGGGATCAGCTACGTGCGCAGATCGCGCTCTGGGGCGGGGCTAGCGGAGCAGGCCCTGCGCGGCTCCCGGCGCGGATTGGCTGGAGCCTCGCTGCCCCCCCCTTCCAATCACCTCCGAGCCTGCGGCATGACTTCGTTTTGTACTGTGCGCGAAAAAAGCAGCGACCCCTGTCGGTGCTGATTTAGAAACCTGAGGGATTTAAGGTGCACCAGCCTTCTCTCTCTCTCTCTCCTCTCTACAGTGTGACATAGGGGCAGTGTGCACCAGACACCCCCATCTCTCCAGCAGTGACCCAGACACAC